ACCCTGACCCCGCGGATCTGTGTGAGGGGTGGCACCGAATTTCAGAAATGTAGCAAATCCCATGTGTTTTTGGACCCTGGCCCCGCGGATCTCCGTGGGGGGGTGGCACCGAATTTCAGACACGTTGCAAATCCAATGTGTTTTTGGACCCTGACCCCGCGGATCTGCGTGAGGGGTGTCGATTTCGAGCCCCCCCGGCAATTCAGACAGCGCGCCCAGGGGGTGCTAAAAAATCATGCTTGGCCCCCCCCCCCCCCCCCTCGCGCGGTCAATCAACTAGTTACAGTAACCAGCAAGAAGAAGAACTGTAACACTGGAAACTACAAGCTACAACTGGCATTGGAAACTGCGAACCCGCGCCTACCGCCTGGTGGCCCCACAAGGGGGCCGGCGGATATATATATAATATATATATATATATATATATATATATATATATAAAGAACTTTCGACATAACGAAGCAGCGAAGCTCTTGACGCAGCAGGAAATCTTCGACAGATACAACAACTCCACCTCGCGGGACACGAGCCACATCACCAGGAGCAGTAAAAACTTCGCCAGCATCTACGAGCTGCAAGACATCCTCGCCAAGGCCAAGCCACACAGAGCGTCTGGGCCAGATTGCATCACTGACGACTGGGCCAAAATTGCACCACGTGAAGTTGCTCGACACATGCGCCCCGCAATCACCAAGGCTCTATACTGCAGGGAAAGTTTGGCGCACAAGGGATCAAGAATGACCTACTTCTGGAAAGGCAAGGGCGGAGAAGAGGCACTCAAACCAACGGTCCATCGCTCTCGCCAACACCGTCATCAAGCACCACTAGCGCAACATCAGGCAGTGCGTCAAAGACCTTCCCCCCGACATGTTGTTCTCTACTCAGATGGGCGGCGGGCGCCACTACAGCACTGACTTCAACCGCATGATGATGAGGGTGTTCTTCGGTACCGCCAAAGCGATAAAGAACGACCTTGTGATCATCATGATTGACCTCAAGGCAGCATTCCACAAGGTCATCAACCAGCTGGTGCACAACATGCAGCCCGACGAAGATCAAATCAGCGACGTCATCAATAACATAGACATCCCCGACGCCATGATCCCAGCCATCACCCATCTGATGACCAACGACGGCATCGTCAACAAGCATGTCACGGACCAGCACATTGTTGAGATGCTCACGGAGGCCCACAAAGGGACATGGTTCTACATACACAGAGAAGCGAGCTGGGCTGCACCAAGAATGGGAACCCGGCCTGGCGCCCCACTCGCCGATTTCACATTCAGAGCGCTTGTGGCAGACGTCACAGCAGACTATCACCAGCGGGCTACCATCGATGGCGTCGTGGCAATGATTCCCGAAGCACCACAGCACTTCCAGCAGAGCGACTGCACCAAAATAGTATCTTCTACATCATTCGTGGATGACGTTAAGGCAGCCGCAACGACCAGCAACGGCAACGAAATCTACCAGCTGGTGAGCACAACGTGGGGACATCTGATTCGTTCGACACTCAGCAGGGGATTACCTATCAACACGGCCAAGTCGAGCTACATCGTGTACCCCAACACCAAGAGCGGCAAGCGCACAGCCCGAACCATGAGTCAAGAGAAGCTCAGCATGTCGGACATCGGGTTCACGGTCACACATACAAGGAGCACCAAGCTACCCGGGGCAATGTTCAACGACAGGAACGACCTCGGACAAGAGATTGCAGCCCGAACCATTGCACTACGACAAACGACGGGACCGCTCCGCAGGACGCTATTCAAGAGGCGCGCAGTCACTAACAAGGCCAAGATCAACTACCTGGAGGCGTTTGGGTATTCTAAGCTTTTCTTCAATGCAGGCACATGGATCATAAATAAGCAGCGCGACACGAATCGACTGACGACGGCCTACGCACCTGCGGCACGACAGGCCATCGGGAGCATCCACGACAAGATGCGCACTCAGCGGATCACCAACGACCAGATCCTCGAACGAGCTGCCCTACCAACACTGCAAGAACGACTACGACGATTTCGCCTCCGACAGGTGCGACGCCTTGCGCACCAATGCCCACCAGAGCTACACGCACTTGCAGACTACGACATACAGAGGGGTGGCGAATGGTCCACGACCATCAACAGCGACCTGCAACACTACCGACACCATTGCGACCACACACGGCACGAGCAAACCCCCAAAGACATCACGGAGTTCACCACGATGGCGCGGTACGACACCAGCCACCTCAAAGCCATTCTTTCCCATGCATACAGCAGGGCCACTGACCAGCACACGGAGACGACGAGACGAACCACATGGCAAAACATCACATCCAACATCGCGGCAACAATCGGGCTCCGACCTGCACGCGCGCACGACGACGAGGAGCTCGGTGCGACCAAGACGGCGCCAGTCATGTGCTATCATTGCGGCGCAATCTTCCAGGCTACGGCGGCGCACAACAAGCACGTATGCAACCACCACAGAGGCGACGACGACATAAGCAACTTCGCAGTTGGAGACACATGCCAAATCTGCATGAAGAACTTCCACACCGCGAACAGGCTAATCAAGCACGTCAAGGCGTCGACCATATGCGCCGCTTCATGGAGGGCCAGCAACTACAGGGCAACGGCCGAAGAGGTCGATGCCAACACGACGGAGGTCCGACTCGTCAGGCGACACAACAGACACAACGGGCTGCCCGACGACTACGCCGAGGCAGCGCCACTACAGACGCACGGACCGCCGATAGGCCCCAAAATAATCACCAACGACGCACGCACACCAGTCCCAACCAGCATCCCCGAAGCGACAATCATGCCCAGCCAGACACTTAGCGACGAGCCGAGGCAACCACCCACCAACCAAGACAGGGAACCACCGAACACGATCCTTATCATCACTGCTAGCGACAATGCTACCAGCGAATTAAACGACGCCATACAGCGGCAAGTCAACAGACACAGCACGGCAATACAGATACGTATCATACGCACCGACAACGCCGAAGGCGACGACATGGGCTACTGCGCGCGAGCAAGAACCTCGGAAGAGAGAGAGTGGCGCCGCACATCGTCGACGCCAACATCGACTCCTTCAAACCCGAAGGGCAAGCAAGAAGCCAACAGCACCCACGGGGGCGGCCACACATAAGCACACGACAGCAGCGAGAAGCCACCAAAGACAATCACACGATGTACAGAACACTCACAGCAGCATACGACACGATTGCCACAACCACCCCCACCATCTTGCTGGACGGCGACATACGCCACCTGGGCATCCAAGAGCACACCCTGCTAAGACAACACCATCGGACAACCACAGCGGAGAAGCACACAGCCATCATGTGCGAGCACTACCACAGCGACGGTTACAACATCGAGGACGCCATAAGAAAGGCCATAGAGGCCATCATCAATGGCCAGGACATCGCCCAGACCGACTATTACGGTGGCCACATGGGCGACTTCTGCGGCCCCCCGAACGACAACCACGGCGAGCACCACCCCGCGGAGTACAGGTTGGCGACCACCCTCTCGCGGCGAGCGCGCCGGCCCCCAGGAACGGACTTGGGGGCGCTGGCGGCCGCGAGGGGGAAGAGAACACCTTCAACTTCTGACACCTGGGCCCGCGGGGCGCCCTCACACCTAGTTGGTTGTGGGCCCCTCCCCCGTTCCTTCCTCAGGACTCTCCCAGGCCCTGGTCCTTTCCTGTTGGGGGGAGGGGACCCACAACCCTACAATGTAATTAGTCCCCCCCCCCTACCACCACCCCCGCGTTTATCTCGCGGGGTGGAGTACATCATCCACTGTGGAGGTGGTGGTCGGGGGGGGAGGCGGGCCTAGTACAAAGCTAGGCGCGCCATCGTCGGCCTCCGCCTCGACCTTTCCCCCCCCTTTCCGAGGCCCTGGGGGCCCCTCCTTCCCCATCCCCTTCTTCGGTCGGGGGGGGGGCCGGAGGACCCCTGAGGCCCTGCCCCCTCGGAGGCTTCTGGAGGCTTTTCGAGGGCGTCGGCCGCGGCCGCGTAGACCCGCGGCGCGGCGCGGGGCCACGGCGATTGGACCGCCACGCCCGCAGTGCTGTAGGAGGAGGAGGAGGAGGAGGAGGAGGAGGAGGAGGAGGAGGAGGAAGAGGAGGAGGAGGAGGAGGAGGAGGAGGAGGAGGAGGAGAGCGAGTAGAAAGGCCAGAGGACTCTTGGATGCCTCTTCGGAATCTCTTCGGATGTCTGTCGATATCTGTTCTAGAAGCGTCAGTTTCGCTCGGGACATCCTTGTCGGTCAAGAGACCGTCGCAAACTAGATGTTCTAAAACATAATATGGTTATCGTTCTTGGGAGTGTTTGATGACGCAGGAACAGGGCCCAAAAATTACCCCTAAATCGCTCCACTGGCGCCCTGAGGATTCCCTGAGCAGTGATGCGACGAGCCGCCGTTGTCTCAGATGGCCCCCCCTCCGACTTCCCGAACGCTCCAGGGCGTCCGAGAGCGATCCCAACCCGCTGCGGCGCCCGACGTATCCCCCCAGACCCGCCAGTTCTAAGAAATCCCATGCTACTGCCCATCCCAATCCATCCTCACATTTCTTCCGTCTCACCAGCCGCGACCGGGGGCGATCTCCAGAATACCAGCGCCCGAGTGGAGAACCAGGGCAGACGCAGACTCTCGGAGGCCCGCGCGGCTCTTTCGGGTCGGCGTTGGGACCCTCCCCCTACCCGCACCCTCCCTGCAGCGGCACCCCTGCAGCGCCGCCCTCCCCCAGCGCGCTCCTCGCTCCGCGGAAGGCTCATGGTTAATGGGCGAAGAACGGTATAAGATAAATTGTTTCGCCGTCGGGGACACCGTCCCCAGGGCGGCTGGAAAGTTTATACCATTACGGTGCCACCGCAGGGGTATAGATTTTCCAGCCGCCCAGGGGCAGGTGTCCCCGACGGCGAAAGAGTTGATTTGATGCCGTTCTTCGCCCGTTAACGTGGGGAACGGCGCCCCACGCCGATCCAAAAGCAAATCCGTGCAGAGCTCCGAAAAGCTGTGCACCCACGCAGACCTCATCTTGGTGCACACAAGCAGTAGCGGCCGCCAGTTTCTGCCGCGGTAGGCCCCCAGAGGCCCTGGCCGAGCCCTTGGACGGCCAGCAAAAACGGCTCGCGAGAGAGAGTTTATGGAGGAGGGCGAGAGGGAGGGACCAGTACACATGGGTGCGGAGGACCTTCCTCTGGTTGATTGCCAGACGCAGGCTTGGTGTATTGCTTCGTTCGTGAAACAGGTTCGGCGGTTCCCAACGTTGAGCTTCAGGCAATCTTCGATGTTTTGCAGATCTCGGCGCAGCGGGAAAACAAAAAGGGACCTCGTTCCCTGCGTCAGGTTCCTTTTGGCAGGACTGTTGATTGAAGTCGCGCCTTGTTCAATGCAGGATTCCCCGGCCTTCATCCACCCCTTCTGGTCGTTCCCGGTGCGATTGCGTGCTACGCATACGAGTGACCATTCGCCCCACCGAGCTGTGGGTGCGGGCCCACAGAGGAGGTCCCCCAGCATTGGCCTGGGCGCTTGGATTTGTCCCCCCCCACCCTACCCCACCACCCCGCGGCCCCCACATATCGCACTGGAAGGGTCACTATTGCCTGGGGTCTCTCGCGCGCGGAGTATAGCCGAAGCTGTTCTTTGCGGCCCCCCGAGGCCGCAAGCGACGAAGCACGCCGCATGATATGTTGAAGTCGTCGGAGGTCTTGGCGAGCCGTCTCGAGACATCCTGGCATCTGACTGTTAATTGCGTCGGCAGGCTTCCCTGATCGGGCGCTGACCAGTCCGGGTGTCTAGCATTAAGTCGGGCGTGTCCCTCTACAGGAGGACTATTCAATTACTCTGACGGAAGGACCCCACATGATAATATGTTAGGAAAAGGGGGGGTCAGAAAAAAACTGGAGAGGGGACCTTTTCAAGTTCCCTCTCCAGTTGGAACGCGCGGGAAAGTGAACCTTTGCAAGTTCCCTTTCCCGCTGCTGGAGAGGGAACCTTTTCAAGTTCCCTCTCCAGTTGGAACGCGCGGGGAAGTGAACCTTTGCAAGTTCCCTTTCCCGCTGCTGGAGAGTGAACCTTTGCAAGTTCCCTCTCCAAGGGAAAGTGAACCTTTTCAAGTTCCCTTTCCCGCGAATGAAGGGTGAACCTTTTCAAGTTCCCCCTTCACTCCGACGACAAGGGGGGACAGGGAACCTTTGCAAGTTCCCTCTCCCGCAGCTAGAGACGTCGAACCTTTTCAAGTTCCCTCTCCAGCCCAATCCTGCCACGAACGGGAAAGTGAACCTTTTCAAGTTCCCTCTCCCGCAGCTAGAGAGTGAACCTTTTCAAGTTCCCTCCCCAGCCCAAACGAACGCGGGAGAGTGAACCTTTTCAAGTTCCCTCTCCCGCCGACGACGACAAGGTTGGCCAGCAATTGGACGTGGGCAAGTCGAAAGAGAATATTCAGGCCGCAGGAGCGAGTTCCCCTTCGATCCTCCAAGTGACGACAAGAGACGGTCCTCAGACGGGACTACCCGCACCGCCCACAGACAAAGTTCCCGCTTGATACTTCCCCCTTGTTCAGGCCGCAGGAACTGAGGAGCCCAAAAAGCTCGCTCGGATGACCCGCTCGGGTTCGAACATGAAGTGCGTGCCCCACAGGGATGGAGCGCCCGCCTGATACTTCTCCCATATTCAGGCCTCAGGAGCCCAAAAGCGACGACAGTTACAGGTTTCCGATGACCCGCCTCGGATTGGTAAGATGATCTGCGGGCCCCATAGAGAGAGGCTCCCGCCTGAGACTTCCTCGCAATTCACTCACAGACAACGCTCCCGCCTGATACTTCCTCCAAATTCACGCCCCAGGAGCCCAAAAGTGACGACAGTTACAGGATCCCAATGACCCGCCTCGGATTAGTAAGATGATCTGCGGGCCCCATAGGGAGAGGCTCCCGCCTGAGACTTCCTCGCAATTCACTCACAGACGACGCTCCCGCCTGATACTTCCTCCAAATTCACGCCCCGGGAGCCCAAAAGTCACGACAGTTACAGGATCCCGATGACCCGCCTCGGATTAGTAAGATGATCTGCGGGCCCCATAGGGAGAAGCTCCCGCCTGAGACTTCCTCGCAATCCACTCACAGACGAGGCTCCCGCTAGATACTTCCTCCAGATTCACGCCCCAGGAGCCCAAAAGTGACGACAGATACAGGATCCCGATGACCCGCCTCGGATTAGTAAGATGATCTGCGGGCCCCATAGGGAGAGGCTCCCGCCTGAGACTTCCTCGCAATTCACTCACAGACGACGCTCCCGCCTGATACTTCCTCCAAATTCACGCCCCAGGAGCCCAAAAGTGACGACAGTTACAGGATCCCGATGACCCGCCTCGGATTAGTAAGATGATCTGCGGGCCCCATAGGGAGAGGCTCCCGCCTGAGACTTCCTCGCAATTCACTCACAGACGACGCTCCCGCTTGATACTCGAGTGAGTGACGGACTGACTGAGTGATGTGTGACGCCAACGGATGATATCCTCATGTGATGATCATGATGAGTGAGTGAGTGAGTGAGTGAGTGAGTGAGTGAGTGAGTGAGCGATCGAGTGGTGTATGGGTAAGTGTGATGGTGCTGAGGAGGAGAGGCGTGGGTCATGATGATGATGACTGATGATGATGATGGCGAGAAAGAGGAAGAGAGAGAGAGAGGGTGTGAGATCCTGCGCGGGGGGTGTGCAGAGAAAACAAGAACCCCACTTTGGATGTGGGAAAAAATAGTCCAAACATAGTTTTGGGACGATGTTTTGAATGTGTGTTGAGCATGTCTGATGTATTATTTGACTCTGTCTTATACTTCGTCTAAAACCCCTCTGCAGGAGGACACGCCCGACCTGAGTCGAGCAGTGGGGCGATCGAGGGTCGACAGCTCTTGTGGGATGGTTTTGCTAACTTCTGCGGGGCCTTCAGAGCCCCCTTGGGGGCGATTTTTTGAGTGTGTTTGAGCATGTCTGGCGTATTTTTGTTGACTCTGTTTCATTGTTCATCCAAGATCTCCCTGTAGGAGGATACGCCCGACCTGAGTCGAGCAGTGGGGCGACCGAGGGTCGACGGGTCGTGTGGGATGGTCTTGCTCACTTCTGCGGGGCCCTCAGAGCCCCTTGTATTTTGTTGACTGTGTTCTATTTTTCGTCCAAGACCACCCTGTAGGAGGACACGCCCGACCCAAAGTCGAGCAGTGGGGCGATCGGGGGTCGACGGCTCTCGTGGGATGATTCTGCTCACCTCTTGCGGGGGCCTTCGGGGCCCCCTTCCTGGGGGACCCCGACGGAGGCCTTCGACGGCGGAGCGGGCTCACGGGGCCTCCTCTCGCGGCGTGCCGCGCGTGCCGCGCGTGCCTCGCGGGGCGGCGGGCGGGGGGAGTTCGGAGAAGAACAGAACCACATCAGCATGAACTTCGCAGGCCTGGAGGTTGACACCAACACCAAGATCGGCGGGGTGCCTCCACCGAGGAAAGACGATCCCGATCTCGGTGATGGTGGTAATATTCTGGTTTCCAAGGTGACCGAAATATTACCACCAACACCGAAGCCTAGGATCATTTTCCCCATGTGGATGCAACTCCCTGTTCTGGTGTTGGTGCCTATTTCCAGACCTCCAAAAACTCTGCTGGCGCTCCGCGCGGATCTCTTTGGGGGTGCGGGCAGGGGAAGTGCGGAGAACAGAACCACATCGACCTATAAATTCTGCTGGCGCTCCGCGCGGATCTCTTGGGGGGGGTGCGGGCAGAGGAAGTTCGGAGAAGAAACAGCCACATCAACATAAACTGTCTGCCCGTAGTTTTTGGCTCTCAGTTTGGAGGGAGTTCAACAACCAGTCCACCATCCCAAGAGGGGGGGGAGCCAGAACAAACTAGCACAGTGCAGTTTGACCGCGAGACCACAAAAGAGAGGAAGTTCGGAGAAGAAAAAAACACATAAACATGTAAACTGTTGGCGCCCCGCGCGGATTCCTCGGATCCGCGCCCAGGCTCCCCGGCGGCGCTTCCGGCGCCGCCCCTGGCGCGCGGAGCGCGCCAGGGAGGGGGGGGTCCAGCGCGGATCGCAGAAATCCGCGCGAGGCGCCAAAAGTTTCTTTTTATGTGTTTTTGTTTTTGGTCTAGAAGTGCTGTCTCGAGACGACGACGTCAGGGAGAACATCAACAGGCAGGGTGCGGTCGGACCAAGGTATAAGACCGAGGTCGGTTCAGGGAGGGCACCCTGAGGTTCTTCGTGTTGTTTGGATGTTCTTGTGCATCCTGGGGGAGGGCACCCTCGAACGTTCTTCCGTATGGGCCGGTGGAGGGTCTCATGTTCTTGAAGGATGTTTTTTTGTCCTGGGTCCTGCTGTAAGCGCATCCCGTGGCAACGTTCGAAGACCGATTTCTGACCACATCCACCTCTGGATCCTCGATTCTATGATAGGCCCTCGGGGGTGGAAGTGGGTAGTTTTTCCTTCCCCTGGGGCAGGGAAACTGCCCACCTCCACCTCTGGAAACCGCTTTTCGCGAGGCACCTCGGGAAGTGGGTGTGGTCAGAAACCGGTCTCCTAAACGCTGTGCGGCGCAGCATGGCCTCTGGAGCGCATCGGCAGTGGATACATCGAGCGCTGTGCACTGCGCCTTTTGCCTCCCCCCCCCCGCGCGACACAGTACCGCGTCGAGACGAAGCTTCAGGCCGCGCTTGTGTGACGCATCGAGCGTCGGCAGAGGAAGTGCGCCTTTTGCCTCCCCCCCCCGCGCGCCCGCATGGAGCGCGGCCCGGCCGCGCCGCCTGCGGAGTGCGCCGCCCCAGCCAGCCTGGAGTGCCCCGGGGGCCCGGCCTCTCGGCGGCGACGGTGGTCACAAAGCTCGTGCCACTGCGCCCAGAGTGCCTACTCCAGGAGGAGGAGGAGGAGGAGGAGGAGGAGGAGGAGGAGGAGGAGGAGGAGGAGGGGGGGGGGGGGAAGGGAGGGGGAGACGGCCCTCTCGGAAGGTGGCGGGACTTCTTTAGAAGGCCTCTGGCCCTCTGAGAGGCTCTCTCCGTGCCTTCGGGTACTCCAGATTTCGTAATAAAGGGAGGGGGGTCTCATTTCGGGGGGGAGTCTCTTCCAGGCTATCTTGGAGGGCCTGGGGGGTCTGGGGACGATGTTTTGGAGGGTTCTCCCACGGGAGAGGTCTGAAATGGCTCGTCTTGGAGGGTCCAGACCCCATCCCTTTTATTACGAAATCTGGAGTACTAGCAAACGTCTTTGAACCAGAGATCTGCCTCTGTGTAAGTCACGCGATCGCAAACATGGATCAAGGGGGCGGGGATTAGCGACGGGTCCCGTCTCCATGGGAAATCGCGGATTTACGTCGCCAAGCGAGGCGGCACGGGCAGCATTTTGGGAAGGGCACCTCCCCCGATCCATGGATTTGGCGACCGCGCGCCAAAGCCATGGATCGCTAGTCCATGCTTGCGCGCACCCGAGTAATGGATCCTAGATGTAAGTCTGGCCTGTCCCCCTACAGGCGGCTTTGGGGCGAAAAATAAGAAATACCCTAACATGTTCATAAACAGCCAAAAATAGTCACACCAAAAAAGACGTCCCTGTACGATTGTTGGACTAGTTTTGAATACTCCTCCCATAGAGGGACAGGCCCAACTTAATGCTGGATCCCCCGCGGCGGATCCGGGGCACTTGCCAGCAGCCACTCTGCGGGTAGTGGAGCGCGCCCGTCCGGACAGGGGCGTGCAGCCCCGGGAGGGAGCAGGGCAGTCAGGGCGCACAGCAGGGACGAGCGACTCTCCTTGCGAGGGCACGAGATTGTCGAAGAGCTGGGGAGGGCACGAGTCGATGATCCTCGGGACGCGTGCTAGCCCAATCCGAGCATTCTCTCTGGGTGGAGGGCGAAGGGTGCAGTCTGAAATGCCAGTTCGATGGATGTTCGAGGCCTGAATCTGCAAAAAGGTGAATCACAGGACGTGCACAAGCCTGTATAGATTTCACCCTGAGCCCTCCACCCTAAGAGAATGCTCAGCCAATGTGTGTTTACCCCCCTTCAGAACCGTCGATAGCACGCAGCCCGTGGTGGCCCTCATTGACCACGCCGCCTGCGTCGCAGTGGAGAGCTTCGGTTGAAAAGGACCCGTCGGCGCCACAGTCAACGCGCATAGTGAGATTGAGCGATGTTGCAAGGTAAATGGCCCTTGCAACCTTGCCCCTTCGACCCATCCTTGGCCACGTTCGCTGGCCGCGCCCCTCTCGAAGGGTGTCGACGTGGCCTTCCAAAGTCCTGGCAATACCCAGCCACGCGCAGAGGGGGGCGGGGGTAGGGGGGAGGGTTTCTTAGAAGCACCCTGCCTCTTGGAGGGCGCGAGCCATACCTGTGGACGTATGGCGGCGCCTTCTCAGAAGCAGCCTCCGTCCAAGAAGCCCCCCCCCTCACCACCCCCTTGTGCGCGCCGCCAACGTACATGTGTCCAATGGCGCCGACGGTCCAGATATTCGGCAAGGGTTCCCCAGCGAAGACGTGGAATGCCTGCCCCCCTCGGCCGTTCGCCCCATGTCGTCGCCTCTGAGCCTCCTCCCCGGGGGCACGTCCTCCCCGACCTCGCGCGAGAGGAGGGTGCGCCTCGGGGCCCCCAGACGGTGCGGTGACCACACCGCGTGGTGAGCCAGAGGGGGCCCGGAAGCGCCGCACAGTTTGGAGGCTCGGGCCGTTCTCCGAGGACGTATCGGGGGATGTCACCAGCCGCGAACTTATCCCCGAGCCCTAAGATCGACACGCCAACAGGCGATGTGACAATCTTAGGGATGCGCCCTCAGAATCTAACGGAATCCCTAAGACCGGCATCGTGATGAGGCGATGCCCAGCATAGGGATAGGGATATTTTCCAGGCTGATAAAGACGGGGCCTCCGATTTCTCAGAACGGTGCGGTGGCGGGCGGCGCGGTGGTGAGGTTTCTGGGGATTCCGAGGTCACCACGCGGTCCGTCACCACACCTTTTCGGGGCCCCCGGACATTGTGGCAGCGCCCCACCCTGAGGCGTAAAGTTGAAAGTTAGGACGGAAATGTTGCCTCGCCTCCACGCGGGGCCACTACCCGAGTCGGACACTTGTTTCCTGAGCTGGGGTGAGGTCTTGTTCGGAGTGTGGAAGTGTTTGAAGGTGGTTCGCCTAGCAGCGTCGTGACAGCGAAGGCAGAACAGAACAGAGCAGAACCTCGTGCGAGTAGGGGGTACGTCTTTCTCCTCCTCCTCCTCGCCTCCCCTTCTTCGCTCCCTACTGGCCGAAGAATCATTGTTAGCCAGTGTGGATCCCAAACAGCAGTTGCATGCAATCTACGAGGTGCAATGTAGGTGGTGCAACAATTGTGGTGCAAGTCATGTAGTGCAATCGATGCGTTGCAAAGCAGTGCAAGGCAATGCAAGGCAATGCAAAGAAGTGCAAGGCAATCCAAACTAATTCAAATCAATGCAGCGTAATGCAAAACGAGTGCGAAGCAACGCATCACACTGCAAAGCAATGCAAAGCAACGCACAGCAGCGCAATTCAAACGAATGCATCTCAATGCAAACCGATACAAAGTGGCACACGGATGCACAGCAACGCACAGCAATGAAAAACAATGCAACGCAGCGCAATGCGATTGCAAGACAGCGCGAAGCAACACAAGTGCACTGCGATTGCAATGCAGTGGGCTTGCAATGTGATTGCAGTGCAGCGGGCGGGGGGGGCGCAGCGGGGCGGCGGTGACGGATGTGGGGGGGGGGGGCCCAAACTATACCACCACCACCACCACCACCACCACCACCACCACCACCACCACCACCACCACCCACCACCACCACCACCACCACCACCACCACCACCACCACCACCACCACCACCCCCACCCCTCTCCCAGAAAAGAGGAGAGGAAGAGGAGGGCAGAGGAGGAAGGAGGGGAAGAGGAGAGGAAAGAGGAGAGGAAGAGGAGAGGAGAGGAAAGAGGAGAGGAGGGGAAAGAGGAGAGGAAGAGGGATGAGGAATCGCGCTCCCTCCCTCCCCTCCCTCCTCCTCCTCCTCCTCCTCCTCCGCCTCCTCCTCCTCTCCTCCTCCTCCTCTCCTCCTCCCCCTCCTCCCCCTCCTCCTCCTTTTTCTCTTTCTCCTCCTCCTCCTCCTCCTCCTCCTCCTCCTCCTCCTCCTCCTCCTCCTCCGCCTCTGCCTTCCCCTCCCTCTCCTCCTCCTGCTCCTCCCCCTCCCCCTCCGCCTTCCCCTCCCTCCCTTCCTCCTGCTCCTCCTATTCCTCCTCGTCCTCCTCCTTCTCGGGTCGCCTACGGCCCCAGGGGAAACCGTGCACTTTGTTTGGGGGAACATGCGTAAACAGTAAACAACATTTTTCTCGGAGCTCCGCGCGGATGTCTCGGATCGGCGCTGGGGCCCCCTGGCGGCGCTTCCGGTTCCGCCCTTGGCGCCCTCTCAGGGAGAGGGGGGCCCAGCGCGGGTCCAAGAAATCCGCAGCGACCTCCGGGAAGTTTTGTGTGTGCCGTTGGGCTGTGCCTCTAGCCCCGTTCCCCACGCCCTCGCGTCGCCAAACATCTCTGCTCCTCATCTGCCCCCGTGACGTGCCAATTGCCAGGAGTAGACAGGCAGATGTCAGCTGAGCTGGCCCGTCGAGCGAGCCTGGTCCTGCCCCATCCCAGTCTTCGGACGCACCCAAGGAGCCTTGACCCCACCATTCCCTTGCGTGCTGTCCCGAGTGTTCCGCCTGGGCCCCACACAGCCTCCTCGAGTGCTCAGGGGCCTTGTGGATTGCAACGGAAATGCCCAGGCTACATCATTGGATCCTCCTCGCCCTCCTCTCTCCCGCTCCCTTCCCCTCCCCTCCCTCCTCCTCCTCCTCCTCCTCCTCCTCCTCCTCCTCCTCGTCCTCCCCCTCCTCGTCCTCCTCCTCCTCCTCCTCCTCCTCCTCCTCTCCTCCTCCTCCTCCTCCTCCCTCCTCCTCCTCCTCCTCCTCCTCCTCCTCCTCCTCCCCCTCCTCCCACCACCCTCCCCCTCCTCGTCCTCCCCTCCTCTCTCCTCCTCTTCCTCCTCCCCTCCTTCTCCTCCTCCTCCTTCTCTCTCCTCCTCCTCCTCCTCCTCCTGCTTCTCTCCTCCCCCCTCCTCCCCCTCCTGCTCCTCGTCCTGCTCCTCCTCCCTCCTCGCTCCTCATTCCTCCCCCTCCTCCTCTTCCTGTTCCCCCCCATCCTCATCTCTCCCTCTCTCCCGTCCGTAGCCTTTTTTGTTTCAGTGCTGGCGCAGGCTAGCTAACTGGGGGGGGGTGCAGGCCTACCTGCGATCCTCCCGCGCGTACCCGCCTGCGCCTGAGATCAGCGCCCGCTGCAATAACGCCCGCCGCCGTCGAGGCTGCGTGGCGCCCGGTCCACGGGGCGCGCTTGCGCCGTGCGCAGGCCCGGCTTCTGCTGCACGCTAGGCATAGGCGGGCGAGCCCCGGCTCGCCTCCCGCCTCGAGGACGCGAGGCGCCTGCTGGACGCGCGCGCGCGCCACGGCTCGCGGGCGCCAGCCATCCCGCCTCCCCAGACGCCCACCGGTGCAGGCGGCGGCGCTGGCACGACAAAGCCGCTTCCGCCGAGGGCGCTCGTCGTGCCTCCTGCCCCAGGTACTCCCACCCAGGTACTCCCAACCTACAGGTGGCCCGGATTAGTAGGTCGACCTTGCCAGATCATGGGTACCCTCGTGTCTTGTGTCTTGCGACCCATGCTTCCTGCATTATGTGGCAACGTGGCCCTCGGAAGGGTCTTGTGTCCTCTCGCGTGTCCTCTCCAATCGAGTCCGACTGTACTCCCAACCTAGG